ATCACTGGGCTTCTAGAGCCAAATATTTTGCAAAGACGCCCAGAAAACCTTTCACTTTACCACCTTCAGATATCAGCCGAACCCTGATTATAACACGTTGAGCAAATAAAAGCTAAATTCTGAACTCTAGAGGTTTCCTTCTTATTTACCACATACTTAAGTGTCTCCTTTTTCTTCCTTCTCTTTCAGGGTGGAGAAATAGGAATTAACATTCAGTGGAAGTGTAACCTGGACCTGCACATTGAAAATTGTGTACCCAAGTACTCATTCACACGACTGGATGCACCGTTTGCCAAGAATGCCGTGTCCAAAGGCTACAACTTCAGGTAGTGAGGCTGATATTTCCTCTCAATGTTTTTTTTTTTGATTTCAGTCTTCACTCACCTCTCTTTCCTTCTCTTTTAATGCAGATTTGCCAAATATTTCAAGACAGAGAACGGGACTGAGTTTCGGACACTTCACAAAGCATATGCAATCCGCTTTGACGTCATGGTCACTGGCAATGTGAGTTGTGTGAAACTGTGGTAACTTCGGAATATGTGTGTGCATGTTTGTGTAAATATTTAAAAAATATTTTTGAACCTAATGTTTTGGAGATTGCACTTAACATTTATTGTAATGATGTTTTCCATTGAAAATGCAATAAGTAAGTCCTTTGATGTTTTATAATGCTATAAATTGTTTCAAACATAAAGGATTACTCACCGCGATTGTCAGTTTGGCAGCAACATGGTTGCCACTAAAATCTTGGATAGTGTTGATGGTGTTGCTGAGAGAATTAGCCACATCCCTGAAGGAATACATGTGTTTACTTTCTCGCAGATAGTTAGATGAAAGCGTCAATACCATTCTTGTGTCTGTACGCGAAATATGAAGCCGCAGCCAGTAGCAGGTTAGCTTAGCTTAACACAAAGACTGGAGACAGGTTGAATCAGTGAGCTTGTGTTTTTGGTATTTGGCTTTTGTTAGGAATAAAAAATCAAAATGTAATACTAAGCTAAACGGTTGCTGACAGGTATAGGGCTGTAGTAAAACAAATAAACTCTAGGCCGACTGAAATTCTAATTCCTCTTCTACCAGTTGATTTGCTGGTGGGGAAACAAAGCTGACGTTATCTCCTGGTTAACTAAGTCGGCACTGAGTGTGCTCTACCTGGTTGCTGTGTGTGTCCACCAAAACATTTTTTCCCCAGACATTAACACTTGCATAGGGCAATAAACCTAAACTCTATGTTCAGGCAAGTGAAATGTCACATGCAGTTGTCCGATCGGGCAACTGAAGAATGTATGTGATCTCTGACTTTCATGTAACGTTATCGGAATATTAACTGCACACTGAGGTGGAGCTTCTCCAGCTGAGCTGCGTGTGTGTGCCTGTCTCACCACTAAGTGTTGAACAGGACTGATGAGAAAAATCACACATACCGAACACACAAAATAGAAGTTAACGCTGGAGTCAACAATGTCGCATTCACCATAGTGTTACTAGCATTAAATATCTCTGGAACACTGGAACGCTTTTTACCCAGGTGCGATTGAATCCCTTTCAGAGGCTGTGAAACAAGCCTTGTACCTTGGTGTCTTTTTGGAGACTTTGCAATAAATCCATAACATCTTCTGTGATTATTTATCCTTCTTCCAATAGAAAAATAAGAGTTGAAAAATGTTCAACCTTGGGTATAACACTGCGCTTGGCACTGTCACTTTTTACCCAGCCTTCCCCTCACAGTGGAGCAGAGGCTGGACAAATCCCACAAAGACCAACTGGCACACAAGTACAAGGGCTGAACAGCAGCTTGCACTTTCAGCTGTGAAAAAAACGCTTTGGTGAACACACAGTCTTGTGATATTAACACCAGGGATTGTCCGTCCAATGAATATTTGGTCCGACGAGCATTTCGACCAACCGACCAGGTGTCAGTCCTTCTGGCAATAGCTTCATTTTTAACATAAGTGTGAAAGTGGTAACTTCATCAGCTGTAAGAATTTATGCGCTATAACAAACAAGTTGTGCAGAATACTGTTTTAAAAAGTTGAATATAATTATTACTTAATTTACTTAATGTAAATTTTGGGACTGTTTATACATCATGTTACTCAGACTGACTCCACCTTTTCCAGGCAGGAAAGTTTGACACAATCCCAACACTGATCAACTTGGTAGCTGCCTTCACCTCTGTTGGACTGGTAAGAATTTCTAATCAGACTAAAGATGATAAAAAAATATTTTTCTTATTGCTGTCAGCTTTGATTTCACCTTTTTTTAAATCTGTGTCTGCAGGGTACGGTCCTCTGTGACGTTATCTTACTGAACTTCTTGAAAGGGGCCGATCAGTACAAAGCCAAGAAGTTTGAAGAGGTAATGCAGTTTTTTTTATACAGCAGCTGCATGCATTTTGTCTGGCAATACATAAAGAGTCTACATTAGCTTTTAGAGCTTCGTCACAGACTGTCTTCTCTATTTTGTCCATGCAGGTGTCGGAGGCTCAGATTGAAGCCTCTCTTGCTCAGAGCCCAGGCAGCCAGCTGTCACTCAAACCTGGCATCAAGAGCTCTTACGACTCTGGAGCCATTTCCCTCGAAGCGTGTGACCAACCTGACCTGTCAACAACAATTTGAACAAACGGTCACCCTCCATTATCTCTCTCTTTCTCTTACTGCCTTAATTGAAGTGAAGACAATGTCTGCACACTGTCCTGTTGCTTGCAATACACTCAAACTGATGAAGGACTGAGAATCAAAATGCTGTTTGCTTTATATAGTTTATTGCAACTAAAAGGACAACGTGCAGGAATCGTCTTTTCTTCACCTATGGACAATTTCCTCCTACGCACCTGTATACAAGTTTTTTAAGGTGTGCATGAGCCTTCTCATTTTAGTCTTAATACCCTATTACAAGAGATTCACTACGCATTTATTGTCAGGAGCTTGCAGTTTGACTATGGCAAGTTTTTGGAAATGGAAAGTCACTGCCATCTTCACATTTTGCAACAGAAGGTTGGAGTCAGAAGAAAAGAATTATTGTCTTCAGCTCATAATAGTAACTGGATCCCTCTAGCCAACTCTTCACCATTTAGATTAGTTAAAACTAAAGCCTTTAAACTCATAGGGAAACATACAGTAGTAAAGAATGTTGTTTTATTTTGCGCAGTTTTAATTTACAAGGCATTTTACAGCTACAATAAACTGCAGCCTCCTGTTTTTCAGCCAAAAATATTAAAGCTGAATGATTTTCCTTCTCATTTCCTGTTAGCTTTGCTCGAACAAGCCCAGATTTTAAAAAACATGTTCAAAAAACAGTGCTGAAAATAAACTATTTGCACAATTTGGAGAATTTCTCTTTCTTGTCATGTCCACACACTCACCAACTGGCCTTTCTCTTTGTCCTGTGCAAATAAAAGCACTAAAGAGTCTCCTAATGGTGTAAAGACATGGTCAATGGTTACGTGTGTGTGCGTTACGAGAGGGGGCTGCAGTGGGATAAATGCGTGTGTGGTTTGAGGTTTACAAATGGACCATTATTAGTCCACTTCTGGGCGATGACGCACAGTGGATGTTACTGTACAGACTAATGGACTGGTGTAATTCATCCTTTTCCAGTCTGAAATGACATTACAATTCTCTTTTTTCTCTCTGCTTATTTCTCATGTTTACTCCCACAGTTTCATGTCAGACATTCACATAATTATCTCAATGTTTTGCTCTCTCTGTCACACTCATGGTGCACATTTTAGTGCCTCCCCCTCCTCTCCCTTGTTTCACTATAAACTGTGACCGGGGCACTAATAGATCAGCTAAAGAGCCTCTTAATGGCTCTGACAGCGATTTACGAGAGAAGATAGCTGTGAAGGGAGGCCGCAGAGGAATTGACAGCAGTTAGCCACCAAGTTTGATGTACTAATTTAATCATATAAATCTGTATAATGCATGTAATGGAAATGACAGAATATGATACACAGAGCCGTGAAGTACTCTATCTCTCTGAATGATGCCTCTGGTCACTCTGAGGCAGGTCTGTAGCTTGTCTGCAGACAGCATGAACGAACAGTTTTCTGTCTGCTGTAACAGCGCTTGAAGGCCAAGCAAGGCTGAGTATGTGTGCACGCGCACACAGTTCTGCTATTGTAGAACATAACAGAATCTATAAATGTAACCAGGATAATGAGGTGGGAGGACTTGAGTCACATGACTTTACTTGATGGCATGTTCGCCTGCTGCAGCAGGTGCTTCGTCCCCACTGAGACCTGTTTCTGTCCTCACAGTGTGCTGGTGTCTCACACACACACACACACACATTCTCATTGACTTATTAATGCTGCTGCTTATTTATATTATTGTGGCATATTGATTATGAATACAGTCCATCTGATGCTCATCTTGTTTCTGTTTTTTGCCGTTTCATCACTACTACAAATGCAGCTGTAGCCAGTATCTCATTATCACTGTCCTCATTCATATTTTAAAAAGCTACAAATTATATTCAGCCACAAAATAAGTCTGAAAAGCTGGAAATCAGAGTACAGAGAGTTGTTGCATAGACAATCAATCATGACATCAAACACACTGTTTACAGCATCAAATAACTAACTGAAACCAAATTTGTGAGAAAAAGGAACAACTGAACACACAGCAGTGTGATAAGAACTACCAAAAATGACATAAACCCTCTTCGGGAAAACTCTATCTGAGGGGTACCTTTGTGTTTTAGTTTGAGAACAGTCGTATGCAAGGACTGCAGCTCAAAAATCAGTGATCTGACCACCACAACACCCAACCTAATTTGTCACCAAAGACCCATAACGAAAGGTTTGTGAATGTGTCTTTTTAGCTAACATCTGGGCCTTAGAGCCCATTTAGATTATTTAATCATCAGAATTTTTATGACTTGACTTGTGACATGCTTGACTTGCTCAACCTGCTTAGCACTAAGACAGGGAACACAGGACATACCCTGGCATGACTCTGTCCAAATGTAACATCAACCGCTCACTACTTAAATTATTATATCTCAGTTGTTTAATGCATACAAAAATCAAAGTGTTAAAACAACACAGTGAAGTTTTACAGGGGTTTATGTATCAGACTAGCAGCCAGCAAAGACTCTAGATTAAACATACACTTTCATACAGACATCAAAAAGGCTTTAAAATAAGGTTTTAACATTTCAACAGCTGAACAGAGAGCAGCAGACGATCGAAAACCGCTGACCGTCTGAAACCACTGCTTCAGCTCCGACTCTCTTTCCTCCTCTGGGGTTAATTTCCCAGGATGGCCGGACAGGGAGCCATTACCCAGAGACTGAGACTGAAGCAGCAGGAGGAGGAGGAGAAGGGCAACACAACATCTCTGATAAAAGCCGCATAAAGCTGGTGAAAGAATATTTACTCCAGCAATCAAACTGTCTCATTACGGAGCTGATGCAACACTGGCAGTGTATAATCCAGTCTAGACAGAGAAAGTCTGTGTGTAGTTGCAAAGTCTTGAAATACTCTCAACAGCTGATCAATTACCATTTTGAACAGTGGTGTTGTGGAGAGGGGCGAGGATCAATAAGACACAGGTGTGCTTTAAGTAACCAGAAAGAACTTGTTTTAAGAGAGATGCCCGTTCCTGCAGTTTTACTGTCTCTATCTGAGCTTCCTCCCCGTGTTCTTCCTCTTCAGAGCCCGTATCCACGCAGGGAGAGCGGCTCGGCGTGCTGGTGCTGCCACCTCCTCCATCGCTACCTGCCCCTCCTCCTCACTGTCCTGCTCTATCACAGAGTCCTCATCTGCTCCTGAATCCTCCTCCGAGTCTGTACCATCCATCTCCAGCACAGGAGGCTCTATGGTCACCACCTCCTCTGAAAAACGAACCCGCCTATTCTCCTCGACTCGCCTCTGATCCAGAGTGGGATGAAGGGAACACAAGAGAAGGGAGGATGAACAGAAAGTGGCAAAAAGGAGTAGTTAATAAAATGTCATATTTACTTTAATCATTGATCACAATAATCTCTTAATATTTTGGGAAAACTATTATTTCTGAACAATTTACTAACAGTGTTAGTGTTGAGTGTAGTTTGGTACTAATTGTAAAAAAAAATGTCGCTGTTCTTTTTCAATCAATCAGTTACATTTTGCTCCAAGTTTAACTTTGAGAGTCTTTCCAATTTTAGTGAGCTGGACATAACAAAAACCAAATTTGTCTACAGGTAAATGTAAATTCAACATATTTGAAGCTTCTAAAGAATAATAGTGAATTACATGGGTTAAAATTAAGAATTTCTTCTATGTACATTTCTATTTTTTCCCTTATAATTAGGTTCAGATTACATCATTCTTTTCCAGACACTTCATTCAGTCATTGAAAATGACTACAAAATTATTCAGGAAATACTAAACTGCAAAATAAGGTGTTGCCAGTGCTTAAACAAAAAACAATTTAGTCTAAAATACATGTTATTGTACAGACAAAGATATCAAAAATGTCTACAAATTAATCTTGTTTTTTCCTTGTAGCACAAGTATGAAAAATACATTTTGTTAAAGTAATCTAAATTGCAAATGAAACTTTAAGATCTACAGTTTATGACCTCTTCAACCTTGTCTTTTTATTAAAATAAAAAAGTTCTAAGAGGCAGTGAGATAGTGTATACAGGTCACAGTGTTAATACAAATACCTCTAGACCCTAAGCTTTTTATATTGTTTTTATTTCTACCTATTTATAACATTAGATGGAGAAAACTTTTTTTAATGTGTCTGTTATTCGTCAAAGGAGTTGTTGCTTTATCGTTGAAAAAGATTGATAAACTGACTATGGGGTAATAGATTTCTTAATTATCTGTCTCTACCCTAAGGAAGAAAAGAAAACATTCAATCAGAGGTAATCAATCACTCCTTCACAAAATCTGGGGTCCCCTCATAGGTTATCTAAAGATGTCAGACAACGACAGACAGCCCATACATATAGAGCTAGAACAGTGACAGTAATTTTTGCGGTTGAAAATAAAATTTAGCATTGAAAAAGGAAACATTGGTGCGAAAAAAAAAATGACAATCTTATTTTTTTCATTCTTTTTTCAGCGTCAGACTGCAAAAGAATATCAAAATTAAATAACATAAATTTTAATATCCATGTTATTTATTTCAGCAGACCCTTTTCAGTGCCAATAGTTTCTTTTTCAATGCAAAATTTTGTTTTTGATGCCAAAACTGTCACAGTTGTAGCCACATACATACAAAGAAAACAATGGGTATACCATAAATAAACCTCTGTCCAAACGTGTGCATCAGCATAAGATGTACCTAAACTGCAGTGTGTCTCCCTAAAAGGATTCTTAAATTATATATTTTTATTTATTTTATGTGCATATTTTATGTGTGTATATGTATGTCTTTGTTGAATTCCATAAAGACATTGCTGGAATAAAAAAAAAAAAAGGAATCAGCGTGTAATATGTGATGTTACGCGTTTTATACCACAAGGAGGCAGTGTGTGACACATACCCTTTTTGTTGCTGTTTCCATTGAGCACTGTGAATCATGGGAAATGGAGTGTTTGAGGACGCCTCGGGGTGCAGGAGCAAAAGGAGCGGATGGAGAGAGAGGAGGAGGAGGAGAAGAGTGTAGGGTGTGTAGAGGCATGAGGTCATCATGTTGTGACTCTCCCGTCTCGTCCATCACGTGGCTGCTTGTTAGGCTCAGTGAAGATGTGAACGCCTCTGTGAGACGAGAGCAGAATTTTTAACTCATAAAGATCATAATGTCATTGACAATTGACAACATCTAACATCTGTCAACTTCTAGGTGCCTGAAACAAGAGACTGTGCAAAGTTGCTCTGACCTCTGTCTGCCCCTTTTCCATCATGTCCACCATCTATGTTGTCAGCTGACTGATGCTGTCTCTTCCTGCTGAGGCTGACTCTCTTCTTCAGTGCTGAGTTCAGAATATCTTCAGGCTGCAAATCAGAACAGTTCACAGGGTGACCAACTGTTAGTGATGGTAAATTTCATTAGAGTTTAGGAAAAGTGTAGAGGAACTTCTTTTAAATTGAATGATTTCTGTTAAAATAGTAGATGATGTATTATTATTGATGTCTAACCTGTACAGATGAAGGAGGTCTACGATTACATCCATGCTCCATGGGTTCTGTGCGAACTGCCTGAACATCCTGAGCCGCAGCTTGTTTTCCCTCTGACACGTCCATGCTGACAGGTTGGAAAGCATCAGGTGATATTTGTGCCATGCTGAAACCTGAATTTGGTGATGTCCCCTCAGTTCCTCTGAAGCTCCACTGGTTGGTCACACCGCCGTGTTGGTTCAGAATTGAAGATGACTGACCACTATCATAAGGATTTGTTGGAATGTTGAGTTCTGATGGTCTCTGATTGGCTGCGGCGCCTGATAGGTTGGGGTTTAGGAACTTGCCCCACTCTTGACCCGTGACTATCTCGTCCAGCAAGCTAAAGGAGCCCAGGCCAAACTCAAAGTCACCCATCGACCTGGAACAAGAGAAGAGAATCAAGTCAGGTAGATTTTAGGATATTTGATTTTAGTCAATATACGACCTAATGCTGCTGTATAGTGTTGTCACGATGCAGGAATTTCTGACTTTGATACAATACCTTCAAAAATATAATTATTTGATATCATTTTTGATACCATGGGGACACATTTACAGTGTGGGCATACAAGTTTAAATTTTTATTAAAATATTAATATGACCCTGTAAAAGGCCATCACGAAGAGATGGTTTAAGGCAGAACCACCAACACAATATGAATGACTAAACGACAAGATGAGAGACTCAGTGACTGACGATGTTACAGGGATGAATAGCTTTTGAGAATCAGGGCAATCCTGACCTTTTTATATACTTATTTCTGTTTGTTTGTATTCTGTTTTGTATTCCCTTTTTTCCTCTACCTTTTTATAACACTTTGTAAAAACAATAAAAATAAATATTAATATGACAAGGCTATAACATGACAACAACACCTTTTTCTTAACAATAAGAGAGGGGGAGAAAGCACAGCTGGTGTCAGTGTATCAATACTCCGCAAAATAAGTAAACCATTTTTAATATCAAGAATAAATATGTATTGATGAATCAATAATTTTGTACTGTAAGCTCTCATGAAAGCGCCAAAGGGGTATAAATCAGTCATGCTTCAAATATATGCGTAGCACTTTGTTTTATATATTTATATTGTATTCTGAACAGTAACACTGGTCCAAACCAATCCGCCGCAAAAAATAGTCCCTAACAAATGCCCTGTTTACTCATGTTAGAGTAACATTTGCCAAAAAACGAGAGTTCCCAAGTTTTATGAAATTACTGAGCCTTTTAAAAAAAATTTAAAAAAAATTAAACTTTGTAGTTGTTACTTGTTTTAACAAGTATGTGCTGTGAAGCCAAAGTCTGATACAGCTAATTCTTCTGTGCCATAAAGCTCCATTGTTGTTAAAACCCCCGATTAAAAACACACAATTTAGCATCACTGTCGCACTGGGTGACGTGTTCTTACGTTAAGATGAACATGGGCACTGTGGTTTGTTTTGACTCAGTCCCACATACACTGCCCTGCTGCTGTAAATACTCACTAGGGCACCACATGTGTATTGATCCACTGCTGAAAACAGTCCCCAAAAATTACACTATATACTCATCTTTGAGTCGGGTTTGCAAAAAACCCGTGTCCAGCTGTTTGAGGACATTACTGAGACTTTTTTAAAAACAAAACTACCGTATACATTTGTGACAAAGATTTATGTCTTCAGTTTAGGGATGTATAAAGAGACCTGGATACAGTGTTGGAAGTGGGGCCCCGTTCATTCCTTTCAAAGTTGCTCAGTAGGAATAAAAACATGGATCTTCAGCATTGTGGAGTCCACAGAGCAAGCACGCTACAGACTTATATCAACCAAGCCGGCTAACTTCTGGTTTAGCCCTTTGCTAACTTGAATAGGGATACAGTTATTCAATCATGTGGCTCCTCTAGACCTTTGAAATATTATTAGACCAAATTGATCAAATTCTGATAGTGACACGAGTCATTTCATAGGGGTTGTGACACTCAAAAAAATGCATCTTCTGATTTACAGACATTGCTTTCACAATGTAAGCCATTGGGATAATTTCTTTTTGGGCCAACTCCCATGGTTTGGTCGCTATATCAAATTGGCTTCAAAGCTTGGCGCTGTTCATTTGGGCTTGCTTCCTGGCTGGCCACCAACGTCTTTCGATGTTGATATTTGGCTGAATTTAGGTTGTCAGGACATTGTCTAATGCCACAGTCACTTGATGTAGAATCCTGACCACAGATGATGTTGACATTTTGTTGTTTTTTTGTAAAGGAACAGAAATCCAACGTCTTCCTAATTCCAACATCATCTTGACGTAGAATACAGACATTTACTTGTAAGGTATGGAGAACTAAATCCAACGTCTGCCAAACATCACAATGTAAACACCAACACAACATAAAATTCTAATGTTGTTAGACATTTAAAATATCGTCATTGCATTCCAATGTTTATCTGACGTCATTTTGACGTCTGATGCCAGCAGGGCAGTTGGGTTTGGTGTTGAGAGCCACAGACAGGGTAGGAAAGACAAAAGGTATTAAAAGACCAACTAAGGCAGAGAAATACAGAATAACTCCAGGCTTAACCTTCATTATATAAGAGTGATAGAAGGTCTCTGTCTATGTAAGCATGTATCTGTTTGACGATGTGTCGTCCTAAGGCATCTATGTTATGCTGTGCAGTAAAAATCTCATGAGACTTAGCGCACAATGAGAGTGTGACTGTAGATGACTGATGACAGATGCCGTCAGTGACAGGGGTGTGTTTGGCACATCAGACCACAAATATTAGGCCAAACTAATATCACAGCTATGGTTGGAAACGTCTCAGAAATACCTTGCATATCTTAAGCATGTCGTTGTAGGGCTGAGAGACAAATCGACACAACCAAACTGTGAGAACTTTTATAAGAGCCTGTGTCATGTTGACTTCAGTACTGGTGGTTTGATTGTTTGTTTGTTTGTTTTTTCTAAATCTTAGGACAATTTGTTGGTAGATTACCTCATAAATCCCTCGTTAGTGCTGTCGTCTGTGTGAGGGGTGTTACTGGGACCACTGATGTCTTGTGATGGGAGGATCCTTTCTTCTTCCTTATTTGATGTGTTGATGAAAGTTTCCATTGTTGATTGCTGGTTTTGAGGTGAAATCTGTGAAGTAAACAAGTTGCAGTTTCACCTCAACATGTTTATTTTTAAAGTTTTACAATAGAAAATAATCAAAATGCACCACTCACTTCAGTTCCTTCACTCCTCTGGTCCACTCGCCCTTCTTCTTTCCCCTTCTTGCCAAAACTCCCCGGCCTGTCCCTCCATCTCTCCTTGATCATCTGGGTCCATCTCCTCGTTTTATTCTCAGATGGTCGCTGTTTCCTTCTGGCGCTTCCATTCGCTGGGACAATCTGCATGTCTTTACTTTGTGCCAAAGCTCCAAATCCTCCATTTCCCATGTGCGACACTTCATTCTCTTGACTTCCCGTGTCTGTGGGCTTCAGAGCCCACGTATAGACTTTGGGTGTAAAACCCTGGAACTGGTCCTGTTTCTGTCCCACGTTCGTGACGGCATCTTTGTCACTGGGGATGTTCCTTGTCATTGAAGAGCTTCTGCCAAAACTCCCCCTCTCCCCATTAGTCCTGTCAAAGGAAGTGATATCAGCATCCTTAAGTGATTTCGCAGGAAACAGCTGCCCTGTTCCTGTTGGGGTGATCCCAGGCTGCGTGACCTGTCCCAACACCCTGTCCTCACCCGTGCCACCATCAGTGTTGTCTTTTTGGGAGGGAAAGGAAACGACAACCCCGTCCACTTCAGAGCCACGACCTGGTTGCTGTATTTCCCCACCTTTTAGGCCGAACTTACTGTCCGAAGCAGAGAACCCAAACTCTTTAGAGGGGATACCATTAGCTCCAAACTCAAAGCCATTCACAGGAGAGCTGGAGGCTCCTTTCTCTCCACCTTGCCTCCATGTGGAAGCAGCTGTGCTGGGTACAGGTGTGTGCAGGTATGGCTGGCCCTCTCTTCCTGGCTGGAGCTTCAGTCTCTGCAGCATGGACTGCAGCAAGGCCTGAGTGTCTTTTGGATCACGTGACTGAGACATCTAGGAACAGAAGTGCTGTGTATCAAGTCCAGTGGTCACAGAAAAGCATGTCAACAATGACTGCATGTAAACACAACAATATAGTCCATCAATCAGGGATGGATTCCACACTGTCTTGTGTCATTTGTTGCTTTCAAAACAAAACTGGAGACCATGACAGAAGACAATAGCTGTGTGTAAATCACGTCACCCTCTAAGCCTCCTGTGATGGTTGTGTCCCTCTGTTTTCATATTCCAGTCTTTTCCATTACTGTCTTAACTGTTTCTTAAGGAAAATATAAAGACAGATCCATCTCTTACAGTTTGACTTCCTCAGTTAGGATAGGAGTTCTTCTTTCTCTCTGTGCAGGCTGCTTCTTGTCATGGACGTTTCGCTGTCATACTCCTCCATAATCCACAAAAGTTTTAGCAGCACTCTCTCTTTCTGTGTAGTTTTGGCACAGAGCTGAGCCAGACACTCAACTCTTCCTGACTGTCGTCCTCTTGTGTCTATTCAAAGTCTCTGTCTTTCGTGGTTTCAGCACACAAATGTTGTTTTAGTCACACCTCTTCAGCAACGGCCATTTACATCAGCGGTGATGGGAGGAGAGCAGTGCACGGCAGCGTTCCTCAGATAGTACAAACTGAAGCAGACCAACGAGAAAGACCAGTGAGGTGAGATAATTGTGCATTGACAGTGACGCTCCCTCCCTCTTTCTCTCTGTCTCTGCCCATCTTTCCGTTTGCCCTTCCTTCCTTTCCCTTTCTGCCCCTGGCTCCCTTGCTCACACATGTGCACACACCCTCTTTCTTCCCACCGTGACCCCTGAGTTATAATTACAGGGCATTTTTAGTCAGCAGCTGCTATTCGTGTGTCTTCAGAATGAAAGAAATAAAAAAATGGCAGCATGAACTTTGGAATAACCCCTTTTACAGGAACTCGATGAACTCTGTGCCTTTTTTTGTGAAGTAAAAATGAAAAAACAGGTCTTTACTGTTGTTGTGGGAATAAAAAGCAAATAATAAAAAGTAGAAAAGAATAGTAAAAAAGGGATTTAATCAGTAAAGCTCCAATGAACTACCATACTGACAAATAACAGATTAAAAAATAAGATAAAATAAAATGAAATAAAATAAGATAAGATAAAATAAAATAAAATAAATAGAATAAAATAAAACAAAATAATAATGCAGCTATAAACACACGAAAATAAAAGATAAAAATAAATCCCAAAAGATATATACAAAATAAAATATTAAATCTTTGAGCTTGGGTTTGTTTTCTGGTCCAAGGCGGATAATTTGTCGAATTTATAGCTGTATATAAAGCAGTTGTGGAAGAGGTACTCAGATTCTTTACTTAAGTGAAAGTAACAATGCCATAATGCAAAACAAAAAAGAAAAATCTACATTACAAGTAATAACACAAGTTAAATTATTGTGAAATTATTATCATCAAAAACTTAAAAAAGTGTGCATGCAGAATGGCCCCTTCCAGATTGGTATATTATTATTATTAGAATATTATATTACTGGATTATCATTTCTGATGAATTCATGTGAAAGCAACAGGCTGTATTGATGTTGCTGGTTGAGGTGGAGCTAGTTCAATGTGTAAAAATGCATCAAATTATTTTTTAACATAATCAAGTGTATTTAATTATTTTCCTATACTTACATAAAGCATTTCAATATAATCATTTAGTTATAATTATTAATAATAATAGTCATAACAAGTATTGCATAATAAATATTTCATACACTGTCTTGTGTGTACAACGAGGCCGACTGTAAATATTTCACCACGTTTGTGACAAACATGCAGCTGCAAGAATATCTATCAGAAGCCCAATGCGCATGCGTTTGGTCAAAACACGCCCCTTTCAGTTTCGGCCTCTCTGATTAGTCAACTGTGAGGAAGCGGGTAATGGCGGTGTAAACAACGCAAATATGTCTCAAAGTCGAGTCGCTGTAGAAAATAAACCGTAGACATACAGCTACTGTTGAACGGAATATGTTTTCGGCACTAGAGGGATTTCTGCTCTCCGTACAAACTGTTGAAACCCCACTGGTTCACGTCTCGGTGTTGTTTACCCGCTAGCTTTAGCTAACTTTTAGCCGAGTTCGCTAACTTAACGGAAAGGTCGTATGTAGTTTGTAGAGATGGACTGCGTCGTGACGGGAGGAAACGTGAAAGGTAGCAAACATTTCCTGCTGTTTCACGCCTAATTGTTTAACCAAAACATTAGTATACGACAGTAACAAGCACCTAATAGTAATGATGTTGTGTATGTATGTGTGTGTGTGTGTGTGTGTGTGTGTGTACCGTCCAGTGCTGGCCAAAGCCATCCACTCTCTGTCTAGGATCGGTGATGAGCTGTATGTGGAGCCTCAGCAGGATGGGGTGAGCTGCTCTCATACCGTCAAAAAAAACCAACACTTCCTCCTGCCATACATATAGCTTTGTTGCTTCCTGTTGGTGCACACTTTGCGTCAATGAATGGTACTGATTTGGGTGTTTTTTTTTCTCTCTTGTAGCTGGCCCTGCGGTCTGTAAACTCTTCTCGGTCGGCATATGCTTGCTTCCTGTTCGCACCACTCTTCTTCAGCAGGTGCAGACTGAATGCGTGTGTTAAATATACTGAGTGTGTGAGAGAGTCAGTGAACATCACATTTTTGGTGTGTCATTTGGAGGAGCTTTATGCCAGCTTCCCATCCCATTTCTTGTGCAGGTACACCATTCCCAGTGGGCACGCCTTCCGCTGCAAGATGGCAATAAAGGTGTGGTGAGAGAAAGAGATTAACTATGGTTCATCTAATTCTTTATACAGTCAAATACCTTTACATGGACTGTAATCATCTATATCAGTGGTTCCCAATTTTCTTTTGTGTACGATACACACCCAAAGCCCTGTCAAGTACTCCTTCATCAACCACCTGTCCTTTTGATATTAATATTTTTTCCTACAAGACATAGTGATCCAAGAGCTGTCCATGTTTAGTGTTGGTCTAGGTTTGGTCAAGTCTGTATTCCTTACCACTTTGTGAGGCAGAAGTTGGATGTTTCAATCATTTATCTATTTCTTACTGCTATCTATTTCGACTTCTTTGCTCGTGTACTCACTAGTTTTCTCTTGATCACACTATATAATGTTAAGGTGTGAGGCATGTCCTGTTTGGCTGGTAGTTATTGTCAGATTAAATGTTCTGAAAATCAATATCACACCAATTTGTAATCCTATTTGTGTGTTTTTCTTCTGAAATACACACACACATACACACACGCACACACACACACACACACACGTATTTTACATCACAATTTAATTAGTCATCTCTAATTTATGCCCTTGCAACTGCAGTACCGGCACCGCCCATGGTTGGGAATCACTGATGCCATTTACATGAGTCCGAGCCAAGCTGGCTTAAGGAATTAATCTGAGTGTCCTTTCAGTGCTCAACTTCAAACGCTGTCTTTCCTGTCTTGTTGATACTGTGGCGTGGCCTAATGTAAATTTTGCAAAACATCTGTACTTCCTCGTTTTAACAGTTGCACGTGGCAGTTATTCAGAGCATGTGCCACCAAGAAATTGCAGTATCACAGAAAGCAAAAGCAAAGTTATAGAGTGCCGCAGGGATGACTTTTTTTTTTTTTTTTTTTTTTGTTGTTGTAGGCCGACTCAGAAGTTGGCATCATCCTGGTGCCCTCAGCAAAAACCCAGTGGGATTTTTTCACTAGATTTTGTGTGGTTGCAGAAAATAAGCTCTGTGGCAAACAAACATTTGTGATACTGACACGTTTTTTTTTGTTCAGCAAGATAACGTTCACAAATGAACACCACTTTTGTAATTTTTGAAGTGGCCATGCGATTACCAAACTGCTGACTTTGTGACAAGGGAATCGGGAGTGCTAAAATGCCTACTTACTCTGGGTTTTTAGACTTATTCCCTCACCCCTCCATAGTTTTAGAGAGTAATTTAAGGTGCATACATGTCTAAGATGTTCTATTATGTGACTGAAATGTTACTGTCATGGCAGCTTCAGTGTAGAGTATCAGCTTAATTGTGTTAATACCAGAATATTTCAGTGCATGTTGTCATGTTGTCCCTTGTGTTTTTTTCCCCTCGTTATGTTCCTCTATGTGTGAGTCAGAGTGTGCAGGCCGTGTTCAGGTCTATAGCGACTCTGGAGAAGACTGTGGAAAAGTGTCACATCGAGCTGGATGAGCAGAAGAACCGACTCACCTTCACCCTGCACTGCAAACACGGTATCGGTGCTTCACTTCCTGCTCAAATTGTTCACAATCCTTGGCAAAGATGATTTCAAAAGGATTACATCTTATTTATAGTGGCACATATTTTAGCAAGTGTAGCACATTGTGCATTCATTGCATTGTATTCTTAGTACGTGTGAATTCAAAGTACTGGTGTTGGTATTTTCTCTGCAGGCCTCACGAAGACACATAACCTGTCTTTCCAGGATAGTGAAAGCTTACAGGCAGTGTTTGATAAAGACAGCTATGCCAATGTATTCAGGTGCAATCCCAGGTCTGTGAAATCATTCTACATTTTTTGTTACAAGACTAAAAGAGATCTGACAGTCTTTCTTTCTCTTTCTGCCTTAAATCCTCTGCCCCCCTCTGTGATGTTAATATGTGGTTTTCATATTGCTTTGTGGTCAGTGTTGGAAAAATATGTGATGTTTAAAGCTGATACAGATACTTTTAGACTAAAGTTGGTCATTTGAGTTAATAATTATCATTTACAAATTAAGGGAAATTGTGTATCTGTTGTCAAAGAGGAACTTGCGTTGAGGCAAATGTCAACTCACCACATTAGTAATCATTACAGTGGTCCAACCCCACAAGTAGTGTGTTTTTTTGCTTTACTTTTTTCTGTCGTTCCTCACTCACAGCTCACTTTTTGTCTTCCCTTGCTTTCAGGCTGCTGGTGGACACAGTCGTGCACTTTCCTCCATCTCTGGAAGAAATAACCATGTCAGTGAGTGATGAACGGATGTGGGTCAGGAACCATGTGGAGGAAGAAGGTGGTGGCTCTATTTTTTTTTGTTTTTTTTTTGTTTTGTTTTTTTTTTAACACCCAGAAGTTACAAACTTACTAAACAAAATTAGACAAACTTGTGAACTGTATATTCAAGTTAATTAAGGAGATTAACATTTTAGTGGAAATCAAGCTTGTTTTTGTACCAAAGTTTCAAATAGCGTTTTCAGTGAAAACATTAATAAACCAGAGTTAGTATACCTTTCTGTCATAGAAGACAAGACAAAACAAAATAGAAAAATCAGCATAGCAGGAGTGTTTTTATTAATATTTACTAATTCCAAAGCTCTAACAAGCCAAGGAGCTTTGTATTGCAAATAAATAAGTGGCTGTTATGTTGTGAATATTAAACATGCAGAAAATGGGTTTAAACCCAGTGGTGCCACTGTGTGGTAGAAATGCAGAACAACAGAATTGCACTGTGTAGTCTTGGCTGTTTTCAGCCAATAGAGGAGGTCTTTGGGACTCTGCAAGTTCACAGCTATAGAATATAAGGAAATAAATGTGTTTATTAAAAAAAGTTATTTTTTACAGTACTAAAAACTTGTCTCTGCTTTTGTCCCGTATTCACTTTTTTTCTGTTTCTCTTGCCAACTGTTTCCCTCTCAGACCAGTCAAAGGCCATGCTGACAGAGCTGTGTCTGGCTTCAGACGAGTTTGACCATTTTGCCGTCCAAGCTCACAACAGCGTCACCTTTTGTCTGAAGGAGTTACGGGTGAGACAGAGGACAAAGGGAGGGAGCGACAGAATAGAAGGATTAGGCTGTGGGGAGAAGATTGGGAAATTTACCAGAGAAGGAGAGGACAAGACAGTTTCACATTACATTAATTTAGCTGATGCTTTTATCCAGAGTGACTTACAATAGATGCATTTAACCATGTGGATACAACTCAAACAAAATATGCTCTGATTGACCTTTGTTTATTTACTTGTTGTCATCATAATGTCATCTCTCCTCCAGGGTTTGTTGGTGTTTGCAGAGTCTACAGGTCTCCCTATTTCTATGTACTTTGATGAACCAGGCAGGTAAGCATACTCACATCACATACAGATGATAATTGATGCCTTGTGTAACTATAATGTACTGATGTTTACATTGTGTGTGTTTGTGTGTTTCAGCCCTGTCGTGCTTTCAGTGACAGACAGTGTCCTGGAGGGGAACTTTGTGCTGGCCACGCTGTCTGATGACCCCAACCACCGTAAAAACAACAGTAGACGGTAACTCACAAACAAATGTGAATGCATAAAATGATGTGGGGAAGAAATAGGCCGTACTTGTCAGCCAGTATTAGACAAGACCGGTGGCAGAACACCGTGAAAGTAAAACCTCTGCTATTCAGACACAACACTACCTGATGGACAAGAACATAATTGAGGACAGCTGTTTCTAGACACCTTATTTTTTGTGTCGTCTCCGTGGAGAAGTCAGCTGACCACAGGCTGCAGGTGTTCTCCACTTCTGTCCAGTTGTAGCAAATTTGGTTTGTGGCTCAGTCTAGTTTAAGTTTGGCAGTAAAGTCTCACTGAATTGACACAAACAGCAGTGTAGTCCCCAAAAATGTATAATAGGACAAAATCTTACAGTGTAAAGGTGTCATAAATGTAGCATGTGTGATGCATAGGACGTGAGTGAGGTTGAAATTTCAACACTTCCTCTATCGTCACTTGTGCAGCACAGGTTACGTAACAGACATCTCGGTTTTTGATTGCTGTTCACAGTCATGATTTCTTTAACCTGGCATTTGTAAATCCTCCTTTAAACTATCTGTGACCTCCGTCAAAAATGTGTACAGCACACATTTCTCCAACTTGCCCGCCAGCCCCGTCCGGGTAAACGGGACGTCACTTGTTGAAGATATATCACACTTTTGAAAAAGTGTCTGTCTGTGTCTTCATCACAATCAAAATCCGGTTTATTGCAAAAAAGTTTTCACATACAAATAAACGATAAATGCTCAAAATTTCGTGCCTTATATCAGAACTGAAGATACTGTTCAGATGAACAGTGAAATTTGTTCTGTACATTCTATTCAGACGTAACTACCTGCGCTGTCACTGTCACTGAAGCTAAATATGGAGCCACAGAGACATTTCTCCCTCTCCCTCTCATTCATGTCATATTTCTCTTTCTGTTCTCAGAGCACACTCATCCCCTCCGCCCCCTCCTGATGACTTTATGAATGACGACATAGACTCCTACCTCATTGCCATGGATACCAGTATTGCGCCAGGCCCCTCAGCCGCAGGTCCGCCCACACCCCCGTCAGCTGCTTCCACATGTTTAAAACAGACTGCCGCTGCAGCCAATCACAGGACAAGGCTACACAGTGAGGAGGAGGAGGAGGAAGAGGAAGATGAAAGAGATGATTTAAGTGGACCGCCTAATAAGAAGGTATGGTTTAGTTGTCACATTCATAAATTAATTGATTAAAAGGGTCAAAATGGAAAAAAGCTGGTGGATCAATGTTTAATGGAAGGAGATGAGATACTGTAGCTGTCCATTTGTGCATGTGCTTTTATGGTAACTAATCAATCAATCAAACTATGAAAACAATTAATTACAAATGGTGTCATCTAGTCCAGGTCCTTAAACGCACCATAACACTGACAGCTAGATGAGAATGCCTTGAGTTTCCATGCAAAACAATTACCGAAGCCTGCTGCAGCCTCCAAGACGTTTCCTTCCTGACTGTTGTCATGTCATGTCCGTTGACGTAGGATTTTACAAAGTATACAGCTAATCTCAGACAAGGTGTACAAGATCCAGTTAGAGACATCTATGACTGGAGCAAATGATTGCAATATTCATCCAGGTAACATCAGGATTGGGCTTTAAGTAACAATCGACCGGCTTGCAGAAATCGGTTGTGTTTCCATTTAAAATAAAACATATCTTCATAATACTCCTCTCTATTTTTCCTCTCACAGTTCTGCAACTTGTTCTTTGGATCAGTGCTTCCCCCGTCCTCTCAGATGACCACTCAACCAGTGACAACTCAGGAAGTGTTGGCAAGTGACAGTGACGATGACGCACAGTGAAGCAGAGTGGCAGTGTGCTGATGGATGAGAGCAGGGAGATGGACTGGACCTTAAAGTGTGTATTACAACACTTTTAAACACATGCCACCTGCAGGACTAGAAAAGAAATGGACACCTTGAATGATCTTACCAGCCTGTACCAGTGTTGTACATAGGTTATTTTTTTACGTGGTCAAAAATATGCAAAGACGGTGTACAGCATGGCCACTGCTAATGTTTCATTTTATTGAGCTATAATGGTGGACTTCAAAATATGGGATTATGTGAAACTGGACATGAAGCACTTCCTGTTTACTTTGGTTCAAAGTCTGTTTGGTTTGTGATCGAGGTGCAACAAAAAAGCTCCTCTAAATAAAGGAAATACATTTCACAAACACAAGTATGTAAACATTATTTAATATTTATGTACAAATCAAAAGGTTCAAGTATGACAGAGATTTAGATGAGGGCTTTAGATGAAGACCAATGAGACAGGATGTAGAGGACTTCGTAAAACACCTCCTCATTTTTCCAGATCCAGTCCGATAGATTTATTTATTTATTTGTCAGAAGTAAGATTCAGTAAAGGAAGCAGAATATCTAAGCGTCTGTGATGCAGTCTTTGCAGGTTTAGGCTCATCACTGCTCCCTTTCTCTTTTTGCACCTGGAAACTCTTCCCCCTCGTCTGCGGTTTCCTCCTCTCTCGGTCCCTCTCCTTCTCCAGCTCCTTCTCTTTCTTCTTCCTCGACTTTTCCTCCTCTTTCTCCTTTCTCTCTCGCTCCCTCCGCCTCCTCCTCCTTTCCCTGGAGCTTAGTTTCTCCTCTACCGCCTCCTCCTCAACTGGTTTCCCCATCCCCGTCCCGTCACTGAAATCCTGGATCAAGATTTTGGGGACTTGCATTTTGGATACCTTCTTGGGCTGCTCTCCTCTCAGTCTGCGGAAGAGACCAAAACGTTTACGGGGGTCAGGCGGCGGCTGCTCCTGCTGCACTGCCGTCGTCTCGGTCACTGCTGCAGACGGTGACGGGGTGACATCTGAAGGAGTTTGGGTTGGATTTACAGCTCCAGGATTGGACTGTGATTCACCGTGTTCAACCTCTGGATGATTTGGGATAGATTGTGATTTCCTCTCTGGCATGATGAAGAGATCTTCAGAGAGCCGGCGTGCTAACCTGGCCCCACGGGAGCTGGACGGCTTGCGGATGCAGACATCCCCAGAGGACCGACTGCTGCATAAAGCGGAGGCTTGTGTCAAACTGCTGTCATTCGGCTCTTCCTGGTCTTTCACAAGGTGAGAGTCGTTTTCTTGGACTTGTGGGATGCTGTCAGTGTTGGGAGAGTCTGTTGGTGCAGTGGGAATAAAGACGTCGTCCTCTTCTACAGTGTTTTCTTGAACAGTTTCTGTGCTTTCTTCCTCCTCCACAGCACCCACAGTGACCTGGCTCGTTGGTTGTTCAGGTGCAGGTTCCTCAGAGATACTCATTTCCACTGAACTGGTCTCTCCATCAGGCTCAGTGGTGAGAGTCACAGCTTCAGCCTGTGTTGAAGTCACATCCTTCAGTGGAGGTGTTATCGAGTCAGTCGTCTCTGTTTCTGTTGTTTCCTCTGTTTGCTTATCAACCTGGGCCTCTGAGGGTGCAGTCAAACTTCCTTCTTCTTCCTCCTGTGTAGGTTCACATGCAGCTGCATCACACTCTTTCTCCAATGCTTCACTTGACTCTGTCACTATGTCACTTGCAGCTGGTGTTTCTGCTTCAGTCTCTGTATCACCTATTAAGTCAGTATCTTCTTGTTGTTCGATGCATTCAGGTGAACTCCGTATTAATGTTTCTGCGTCTGTGTGTGAATCTGTGTGATGTTCTGAATCTATTAGTTCTATTTCAGCCTCCAGTTCATCCTGTGTGGCTGCATTGTTCTTGACTGTTTCTTGTGTCTGTGCCAGTGCATCACCTTCTGTCTCTGATTGGGTGTGGGGCTCTTCTGTCATGTCTATTTCTGCTAATGACTCATGACTCTGGTATTTTCCTTCAAACGCATCTCCCTGTGAGCTTTGGTCTGTCTCTGTGATCACGTCTTGCTGTTGTGTCTCTGTCTCTGTCTCTACTGGAGGATCTGTGACAGTTGGACCTTCGATTTTACCGTCTGTCTCTGTGATCACGTCTTGCTGTTGTGTCTCTGTCTCTGCCTCTACTGGAGGATCTGTGACAGTTGGACCTTCGATTTTACCGTCTGTCTCTGTGATCATGTCTTGCTGTTGTGTCTCTGTCTCTGTCTCTACTGGAGGATCTGTGACAGTTGGACCTTCGATTTTACCGTCTGTCTCTGTGATCACGTCTTGCTGTTGTGTCTCTGTCTCTGCCTCTACTGGAGGATCTGTGACAGTTGGACCTTCGATTTTACCGTCTGTCTCTGTGATCATGTCTTGCTGTTGTGTCTCTGTCTCTGTCTCTACTGGAGGATCTGTGACAGTTGGACCTTCGATTTTACCGTCTGTCTCTGTGATCACATCTTGCTGTTGTGTCTCTGTCTCTACTGGAGGATCTGTGACAGTTGGACCTTCGATTTTACCGTCTGTCTCTGTGATCACGTCTTGCTGTTGTGTCTCTGTCTCTACTGGAGGATCTTTTACAGTTGCAGCTTCTGTTTTACCGTCTGTCTCTGAGCCCGGGCTTGTCTCAGCTGTGACTGCGTCCACTTGCATCTGTTGCACATTTTCAGTTTCTATGCTCTCCTCTGGTTTCACGTCCTGTTCCTCACTTGAGGCAACACTCTCTTGCATCTCCACCTCTGTGCTTTTATCTGCATCTTCCTGTATCTCAGTCTGATTCTCCTCCACAGCAGCTGTGTGTCCACTTTGTTCTTCTGTCTCTTTATTTGTGTCTTTCACCTCAGTTTCCAGGTGCTTGCTCTCCGGACTCTGCTGTTCCAAGACTTGTGACGGGCTGCTGGAGTCCAGCTCCTCTCCCTGTTTGTGTTCAGGCTGAAGAATATTTTCAGAAGTCTGATCTTCAGCTGGACTGTTGGTTTGTTCTGTCTCCACGTTTGTTTTTTCCGTCTCTTCTGAAAGCATTTTAGTTTCCACTGTCTCTTTGAGTGGGCTTTCTTCCTTTTCAGTTGTTCTTGTTTCCATTTGTACAATCTCGTCTTTTATGACTGTTTCTACATGCTCTGTTGGCACATTTTGGATCTCCATCTTTTTAGGTTTTTCTAAGAGTTCTTTCTGTTCAGTTTCTCCTGTTAGTTTTGTCTCACTCTGTTTTTTATGTTCCTCGAAAACTATGTCCTCCTCCTCCTGAACGCCCTGCACCTTCTTAAAATTCAACTCTGTCCAGCTCCTGAAGTCCTCTTTTGCTCCCATCGAAAGATGCCTCACAACTTTGCCGCCGCCCTCCCATTCACGTGTGCTCGCCTTTCCTCCTTTCTTCCACCTCTTTTGAAGGAGGGAGGGAGACAGCGATAGAGTGGAGGCCGAGCGGGTAAGAGGCACAGACAGGTTCCCTTTCTCTCTCGCTTCCCTGTCCCGAGCCTCCTCACTCTGTCGTGCCCTCGCCCACGCCATCCGGTATCCCTGGCAGCGACCTCTGGGGTCAAAGGTGGATGAGGGTCTGTCTTTTCTCCACTTTTCTAACTCCTTCTCCGTGTGCTTCTCCAGATCTCTGGCTGACAGCTGCACCGAGCACACCTGAGAGAGGAAGAAAAACTTTAATCTCTCTTTTGTTTAAGTGTTACTTTCAAAATTTTTAAATAAATGTTCCCTCATTTGGCGTTTTAATCTCTAACATGTCAGCACAAAATTCTCAACAGATGTTCAGCTGGGTTGATATCAGGTTACTGCAAAGGCCATTACATGCCATTCACGCCATTTTCTGAATCAAACCAGTCAGTGATCCAGTGTGCATTGTCATTCCTGAGGAGACCACTTCCATCAGGATAGAAATGTTTTGGAATTATGGGATAAAGGTGTTTACAGAGAATAGCAATTGGATGCCTGAAAATTGCACTCCACTCATTCTTACCTCTGCTATGAAGGTGTCGTCTTCCTCATGGACCTCCTCCCTGACGCCCCTCAGCCTCTCCAGAGTCTCCATCTGGCCCTGACACTGCTTCCTCTGCTCGGCCCGGCCCAGCACCCGACGCACCAGGACCACCGCCACCTGGAGCAGCACCCGCACTCCTGCACAGAGGAGAGGAGAGGTGAGAGTGGGTAAATGATTTCTGAACTAATCATTACTCTGCAGTTAAATCTGTAAATGACTGTTAAGTTTCTCATGCATTTTATCTCAATATAAATCATATTACAACAAATAAATCAGTATAGATGTACTTATATTTTTGACCACATGCGTGTAATTCTAATCAGGTGCAATATATACTACACAACATAATACGATACAGAGATTTTTTGCCTCCCTTTCAGGATATAATTTAGTTTTTATGACACAGCAGTCTATCTGGAGGATGTACCATAGCAGAAAAAGAGATCCCAGACTCGGAGCAGCGTGTTGAAAGGCAGGTGACGTGTGAAGAGACACATCAGCCAGTCTGTGGCGAACATGAGGGGTTCCACTCCGTGGTGCTGCAAGTGTTTGTGTGCAGCTGGACATGTCCTTTTTAAGACCCAGGTCAGCATGGCTGCATCAAACAGGACGCCCTCCTAAAGAGGCACACACATACAACAGAGGTCCAGGTCATCATTTGCGTCATGGGTTTGTAATTTCATAATTAGATGTGTACTACATAAAATTATGCACAATAATCTGGCACTAATTATAGGGGAAAACAGGCTTTTCCTTAAAAGAACAGGTCTTAATTTGTTGTTAATCTGCTTTCAAATTCAGTTTACTGGCCCACATGTAAATTATTCATGTATAATATAAACAAGTGCAGTGTGAGGTACAGTATGTGTGCGTGTGTGTATGTGTGCAGGTCCTCACCAGCAGAGGGCTGTAGTATCCAGGCAGGTACTGCTCACTAATCTGCACCAGACACCAGAAGGCCTCCTGTCAGGGGGTTACATGAGGGGAAATGGCACATAACAAGACTATAAGTCAACATCAGATGCCACAATAGCTCCTTTATGCTTTGGACAATTGTAAGTATGCAGAAGTTTGTCAGTTATCCCTATTATTGTGTGATTACGAGACAAAATGCAAAAGAAAAAAATTAACCAGATAGATGAGACAAGAATTGATCCAGATTTAATGTCTGATATGGGATATTGTTCTCCACTGAATTCTAGATTAATGAAATGTTTCTGAGATGCATTTGCAGCCTTTTTATCGGACAGAAGGGTACACAGTGTTATTGATGGCTACCTCAGCAGGCATGTTCATCAGCAGCACTGCAGCAACAGGCCCCTGTGCCTGGCAGTAACCCTCCTCTGGTTGGTACTGAGTGTACGCTTTCAACACCCGGAACAAACCACGCTGCCTACACACAAACACACCACAGGAATCAGTCACACAAACCACATGTTCAGTTCACATGATTGTATTTAAATAAATGTCACCTTTGAATAGAGAGGTGAATTTATAAAGTAAAGATGTAGATGACATCACTACCTTGCCTTATTGTTGTAATAACTTTTTTTTTTTGGTAAAATACAGACACAAACTCGGCAGGACTTATAGAGATGGGGTGGTAACCCATATGACAACAGAAACAAAGAGAAGTAGAAGTGTTTCTCACCCGTGTCCGTCCTTAGAGAGGAACATCTCATGGAAAGGAAACTGTCGGTCCAGGTCTCTCTCAATGACATCCACCCAGCTCTGCAGAGCGGGCTGCGAGTCCAGAGACTAACACAGAGATGAGATAGTTTAAGTCAACAATTTACAAACTATTGGTCTTTAAGATCAGTCAAAAAACATGGACCTTCATTGTTTACTGTAAGCTGTAAAATAGTTCACATATTGCACTGGGACGAGCCTAATTTAAATTTTGTGCAGCAAATAACTGATTTATTGATTAGTTTGTGGAAAGAAAATTTGTTTGAAAAGTTCCTGCACCCCAATATAATGTGTTTAAACATCCTAAAGCCCAATGATTTTCCATTTATAGTGATGTAAATCAGATTATAGCGACTTAAACAAGTATTCAGTTTGTTTATAGAGCCCAAAGTGTTAAAGGCACAGTCCACCCCAAAATCAAAAATACATATTTTCCCTCTTACCTGTAGTGCTATTTATCAATCTAGATCTTTTTTGGTGTGAGTTGCTGAGTGTTGGAGATATCAGCATAGAGATGTCTGCCTTCTCTCAAATATAATGGAACTAGATGGCATTCGGCTTGTGGTGCTCAAAGCGCCAAAGAAATACATTTGAAGAACTCAACAACAATGTCTCTCTCCAGAAATCATGACTCAGTTACTCAAGATAATACACAGACCTTGTTGTGAGCAGTTTCATGTAGGATATATTTTCTTTCAATAGAGCCACACCCATCAACCGAATCACTGCACAGAAGGAAGCGTGCATTTACTCATGGACACCCGTCTGCATGGCGATACAGATACTGGGTGTAGTCTGGTAGAAAGAAAGCAGTTCCTACATGAAACCGCTCACAACAATGTCTAGGTCTAGAGAAGGCAGACATCTCTACAGCTGATATCACCAACACTCAACTCACACCAAAACAAGCTAGACTGATGAACAGCACTACAGATGAGAGGGAAAATATGTAGCTTTGATTTTGGGGGTGAACTGTCTCTTTAAGCTGCAAAATTTTCTGCCAAGCAACTTATCAATCAAACATTGTGATTCAGATGCTGTAACGATTAGTTGTTGCTGCTGATATCATAGCACACATTTAGCACACAGTGAGAGCGTTTGGTTTTCGTACCTGGTAGAGGTTTTCATTCTGTTTCATCCTGTCAGTAGCTCCACACAGCAGAGGCCAGCACTTGGCTCTGAGTGAGGCCGGGATGCCTTTCTGACACTGCACTTTGACCTGACGGGACGTTGGTAGCAGACACAGGATCAGCTTGGTGTTGTCGGCAAAAATGACTGTTAGTGTGAATAATAACAGGCTTTTTTCACAGCGGACATTTTGACTCATAGCAGGAAAATTGCAGGCGTTACTTATCATATTAACACCGACTCTGTTCCAGTCAAGTGTCCCAATACGCCATGACAGTGAGCAAGCATGCACAATACCAGGACCCTGAAATTGAAGCAGCTAAAAGGAACTCAGCCAACATTGATTTTATTAATTACTGTGCTTTTTCCTGCTGTGACTGCTTGTCTGTCATGAAAAAGGCCTCTCAGTCTTCATTCAGTTTGAAAGATTTTAGGTGTCTAAGACAGGACACACCTTACTGGTCTTCTTCAACAACATGCGATCCCATTGGCTAATGATGTTTATCCACTTGGTCTCCCTCTGCCTGACCAGCTCAGGCGGTGGGCCCACACTCCTGCGACAAAACAGCAGGTAAATATTTTAAACATGAAATATTCAGCACCAGAATCATAACCTTTTTTGTGTCTCATCTAATGTAGCATATTAAAGCTCTCCAGACACAAGTCATTAAACTGGAGACCTTTAACTCAGTGTGCAGAGCTGCTGCGTGCACTTTTTGTGTGTTGTCATCATAGAAAGACAGCACACCGAAAAACAAGACAGGAAACAGGAAAACCACACGGTAGCACTGTGATGTCTCCATGGCAACAGGTCAGGATGTTATCAATGGGGAAAGTGTGAAGACGGCAGGTAGCAGTTTGTTCAACTGGTCTTATCCTGAATTTACACTGCTTCAGTTTGGTCCGCCGCCAAGATTTGTTGTTTCATTGCTGAATAAATGATATGTAAATATGTTGCTAACTGACTCTGAAGGGGTTTTGTTGGTAGCTGAAAGTAAAAATGCTCAGTTTTTTAGTTTGGATTCTCTTGTAATGTTACAATAGGTTTTGTCTCTTTCTGTCTTGCACTGTTTCCCATCATGTACATTTGGGTTGAGGTCCGACAGCTGCTTGCACTTCACACAGGTCTGACACTGCTTTGCGGTAAAGGTCTCTGTCCTGCTTCAACATTAAGCCTGTTCAATACAATACCCAATCTGAAGAGGCTGCAGAGTTCCTAAAATAAATCTGCTCGTCTGGCACTCGGCTGCTCATACAGAACAAGTGTCAACTGTATGCATATCCAGCTAGGCCGATGGTTGAAAAGAAAATGTCTCTATGTCTCCTAATGTTAGTGCAGAGCATCATTCGTAGCATCAACCCATCCGGACTGGCTTAGCAGATACACATGACCTCTGGACATGGTTAGAGAAGACGTGCAACCGTGCAAAAATCTAACTCTAAACTCGAACGCCTTGACTTTTCAAAACTACACAAATAATCTAGACATTAAATCCTATTTCCAGATCCTAAACAGCAACTCCAATCGTACACTTCCTGCTCTACTTCCAAGTCACAACACGACAGCAACACATCACCTATTCCTGTACCACGTTACAAAAACAATTACAGTCAGAGATCATTTTGTCACACTTACACTAAGATCTGTAACAAGATCCCACACTACATTAGAGCAATAACCTCTATTACACATTTCAAACATGCATATAAACACTATCTGGTGGAAGGACATACCTGCAACCAGCGGTTTATATCTCATGTCCCATTTTGCTCACTCCACTTCAGTCCTCTACTCTGCAGTGTCTACATCGCTGCCTGTGTTTTGTTGTGTTGCCTCTGTTTATTTTGTATTGTAATGTGTTTTTGTTGCATAACAGGAACCTGCTGAAACCAGTCTTTAACGAGTCAGGCCAATTTTAACTGTAACACACAAGGCTACTTTTAATTCCTTTCCTGTATAAATAAATAAATGAAATGAAAATGACAAGATATAATAGCTACTGTCAAAGACAAAATTACCTCTAAAAAGAATTACAAAGAAATATCTTGCCACATCCAAAGATAAGTGCAGCGCTACTTATATGTATATATGTTCTTTGCTGTGTCTTATGTTATATCCTCATATTCTTTCATAAGTTTATCTGCTTAGTCTGCTTGCCTTAGTGTCACTTTATGTATGTCAGGCATACTGACTGTTATTATATCTTAAATTGTCTGTACTATTATTGTAAGGCTGTAATGTACTTCAATGTGCAGGACCCCAGGAAGACTAGAGGCAAATTCATGTGTTTCTAATGGGAATCCTTGAATAAGCAATAAACAGCAACTTAAAGCTCGGGCCGGGTGATGTGGAGATATTCAAATATCACATTATTTTTGACCACATACCTCAATGTTGATATTGCGAAGATACTGTAGGGTTGACAGTTGCTGGTTTCACAAGCTGTTTACACAGTGAGATTTTTGATAAACTATGATAACAGCTAGAACAGTCTGCTAAGTTCATAGAAGCAAATCACTTGAGTTAAGCTGCATTTAAAACCAGGAAAAGACGACGCTGATGATATTATGATATCCAAAATCTCAGAAGAGTCTCACAAAACCAATATATTTCCCAGCCTTCCTTAAAGCCATCACTGATGGACATGGATGCCTCTGCAGAACTGAGTAGTACTTTTGTAGATGAACCTCTAGACATAACCACTCATGAGTATTTCTGCCAACATGTTTAACTGCACGTTTATGTGCACTGGTTTATTGACCTGTCATGGAGCTCACTGTAAACTCCAAACTTTACCTTCTGTGCGAACAAAGCTTTCTTTCACTCTTTAGCAGAAACATTTCGCCCATGTTTGGCTTGTGCTGTGCATTTATTCTCAAATATATAATGTTTTGGAAGCTGCAGCTTTCTTATTACGACCTGTTTATTGTCTTTTGACTGCATTGTACTAATTGGAGCAGCGTGTTGTTGCCCAGTTGGCTCTGTGTCATGGATGTCGACGTTGTTTTGTCTCATAAAAATACTGGATTAACATTCCAGTCGTCAGATAATGTGGTCTCAGTAGAAATATGTGGTCTTACTTTGGGAGAAAATGACTTCAGGGCACATTGTACAGCCTCTTAGAAACTTTCAATTAGCCTGTGATCTACTGAGATAGTTTACCAGCATTCAGGGGAACAATTCATTTTGAACTGTCTCTTCTGACAATGACAAAACAACTGTAAAATATTCTAACCCTTAATATAAAGGACTATTTGAAAAGAGAATTAAAACAGATAACAGTGCAGAGCTCGATGACAGTACAGTAACAGTACACAAGCACAAATGTAGAGCTGCTCACCCAGCTGTGGATCCATTTGTCACAATGAAGCCAAACCGGTCTGTCTCAGGTTCAAGACCAACCTCTGACCCCACATCAGATCCAGAGCTGTCCTCTTCACTGAGGTTCTTCTGAGCCGGACCCGTTTGACTTGACATCTTACTGACAGAGAAGAGGAGGCTCTTGTTATTCTGCATATTACCGTGTCGTCTATCATCATGATTATGTAAGGCTGATGCCTCCTACATGTAGATATATCAAACATGGTCATTACCTTAACAACATCCAAAAACACTGCTCTGACTGGAGTATGTTTAGGTAGTATGCTGAGTACATGCTTTACTACACCCCTTAAAATCAAGCTTATGACATCTGCTGGCCCAGTTTTGTTAAAATTAGTATAAAGTAGTTTACACCAGCTTCCTTCCATCCAACCATAAACACAACTGCAGCAAGAGGACAGTCGTTAAATATCCTGATAAATATTAATTTAAGCAAAATTACCTTTCACATTTCCGTCATGTTTGATCACTCGGCTGTTGAAGTGGTGAAGTGTGAGACTCCAGTGATGAGGAAGACAAACTTCCTCTCTCTCTCTCTCTCTCTCTCTCTCTCTCTCTCTCTCTCTCTCTCTCTCACACACACACACACACACACACACACACCTTTCAATTAAATTCAATAGACTTTATTGGCCTGACATTTAACATGTGTTGTCAAAGCACAATTAAAGGACAGTAAATCAACAGCTGATCTGACACTACATGATGCCCCATAAATCAACTTCCTGTTGACTTTTACAGCAGTAAAATGGACTATTTGCGGACTATATTCTGTATTTTTAGCTGACATGGGAGTGGCACTCAGTTACACAAACATGATTCATCAAACATGACATCAGCAGAGTGATGATAAATTTATAATACACTCAGATCATTTATGTCCTTTAAAGTGCTTCCTCTTGTATGAACAATATGTATGCTGCTTTTACTTGCTGTAGGAAATACCGTCTCGAAGGCATGAATGGGAAGTTAACGAGGAGCACCTGAATGCAACATTAATACAATTGCGCAGTTCACGGACCGCTGTCTGCATGCCTGTTGCTCATCACAAACTTGTGACAGAGGTAAGTCTCGTAAAATAATATTATAAAGGCGAATAGGTTTATGTTGACGATTGGTTTGGGCTTCCGGAATAGAAATGACATTGAATTTATTGAGCTGTTACTCGTAGTCTGCAAAATTAGCCTAATTTAACCAGATAATATGACAGTTAAGTTGGTGAGCGACGTTGTTATAGTATATTTTAATGTCCGGGTCCACAATGTGGTGCTACTGAACATTTAACGTCTGAATAATTAACGTTAAAACCAAATAAAGGTTTTTAAGAAAACTGCGTTGTCATGTAATCACGGCTTAATTTGCTAACATAATATAATATGTAACGGCGCGTTCAAGTCATATCGTATAGACCATAAACACGGTTTGCTAAGTTCAATGTGTAGCGGAAATGATGCCTACAAATCATGCTACAATCTAGTTATGAAAAATCGACAAAAAACGCATTGTCAGCAGAAACATTACATTTCTATATAAGCATTTTTACAGTTAAACCAGCTAAATAAACTGGGCAATGCATGCTGCCATTTGTTTATAATTAATTTCACCTAAAATCATGATAAAACAAATATCTAGTTACGTTTATATGACGTGTCTGCGGGGTAACAATTTAAGTAATCATGGATGCTTTCAAACCGTGTAAAACTACAAACTGGACATGTTCCCATTCTTCCTATTCTGCCGGCATGCCGTGAATGTGGCACGCCGCTGATGTAACGGCAGGGATTTGGGGCGCAAGATTAGAGGCTGTGTTGTGCACTAGTTTGCGTGTGCCTGACGTAGTATGCACTTGTTTTTTCTTTTGCTAAGTACGTTTAGTGTAATACTACTGATAATAATGAACTAGAGGATTCACGTGCCCAGTTAGCCATAGTCTCCCTTCCTTCCACACCCCTCCCTTGGTTTCAGTGAGGAGTTTTAGTCTATGTTGCATTAATGGAGGTTTCCTGTATCCACAATATACATTAATCCTGTTGCTAGTTTAAACTGTTTCACTGTGCTTTACACTGTTTTCTCTGCTCAGATGTCTACCACACTGAGTCTGCGTCTCCTCCACTGCTACTCAAAGCCAGGTACTACTGAAGCAGGTGTCTTAAAACAAAGGTTAAGGGAATAACATTGATCATCTTGTTACAATGCACGTTTCTGCTGGGAAACTTTTGCCCTACCACAAAACTGCTCAGAAATGGCCTGAAGAATGTGACAAAGAGTTCAAGACTTCATCTTGACTTCCAAATTCCCCAGATGTCAGTCTGAATGAGCAGTGTCAGAAGCCCCACGGTGGATCGTACTCAGCTCTGTCCTGTTGAGCCATGGACACAGGACCACAGGAGGTGTCCTGCAGTGTCTGGCACTAGTGCATTGGCAGCAGATCCTTTGAGTCCTCTGGGCTGTGAGGTAGGGTACCGGCATATCCCATGGATGCTAAATCAGATCGGGATCTGGGGAATTTGAAGGCCAAGTTGACACCTCAAGCTTTTTGTCACATTCCTCGGGCCATTCTTGAGAGGTTTATGCAGTGTATCATCCTACTGTCAAGGAGTGCTGTTTCCATAGGGTGGCATGCTTGGTCTGAAACAGTGTTTAGGTGGTGCGTGTCGAGTGACATCCACATGAGTGCCAGGCCCCAGGGTTTCCCAGAAAATCATTATGTTGTAACAAGATGATCAATGTTGTTCACTTAACCTGTCATTGATTTTGATGTTTTGGCTGATCAGGTATACGCCCAACATGATATGCATCATCTGATTACGTTTGTATGTCTCTCCAGGCACATTTGGTCCAGGGGTTATTCGTCCATTCAGTCTCAGTGTGCAGAGAGAAGGCTACAGTAAGTACTGCTACAATCCAAGCTGTTCATATATGTCATTCTTAGTGAGTGACCTCATGTGTTTGAAATGATCTAACCATTCACTCTGATCTCTTTTTATTCTCCTGCAGAGTATGTTAATGCTCAGGAGCCGGTGACAGACCTGAGGTCCATCACCGACCGGGCGGCCACAACCCTCCTTTGGACCGAACTTTTTAGAGGTCGCACATACTGTGATTGCTATGCAGATAGCGTATGTCGTGCTGAGGCCTAAAAGCCTAAAGTTATTCTATATTTTTGTTACCGTGGACCAACAATTGATTTATCCTACCAAGATGTATTGTCTGTGTAGTCAAAGCCTGATGGAGCTACTAGATCTCAAAAAAACTATTAAAAACATATAGATGAGTCAAACCATTGGATGACTTGATCCTTCACTACAGTGAACACAGCCACTGTAGCCTGAGTCAATCCTACATACACCACCTTTCTTTTGCTATAAATACTCACTAGTACACCAAATATGCAATAATATAAGGGTGAAAATAGTCTTTTTGGTTTATTATTTGATTTGACTTTGGCATAAAATCAACTACAACTACAAAATGTTTTTTTTATAAGTACATAACAACCATACCATTTCCTCCAGTTTGTGTGACATTTGCTGAAAACTGTACTGCCCAGCTGTTTTAGGAAATAATTGTCCCTTTTTATAAATAAAACCATATATTAAACATGACCTATGAGCTCGGGGCCTTATGCCACAGATAGGATGGGGAAGTCACAGAATTATAAAATTTCTTGACCATAAAAAATAGCAATAATTAAGTGAGTTATTACTCTTTGAACACCTTCCTGCAGGTTTGGCGATGACCATGAGTTACCTGTTCCGTGAGCCTGCCACCATCAACTACCCCTTTGAGAAGGGCCCTCTGTCACCCCGCTTCCGTGGAGAGCACGCGCTCCGCCGCTACCCTAATGGAGAGGAGCGCTGCATTGCTTGTAAGCTGTGTGAGGCCATCTGCCCTGCTCAGGTGAACACAAACACACAGTCATTTCCTCTTATAAAGATAAAGCAGTATTACTGTAGTGTACTTTTAGGCCAGTCAGTCATTATCAGCAGCTCTTTGATGCTTCTCTCTACATTTTTGTCCTCACTCACTTTTAGTGGACACATATTCCAAGCTGTCCTCACTATAGGATGACCTTCTTTACTATAAAGTGTCCTGCAGTGTCCTTAGGCAGCAGCAAACACAACTAATGTGGGATGCTTGGAGACGTAGTATTAAGGGAACAATCATCTAAAACATCTGGGTATTTTCTGAGTGACAACTGCTCAGAAGTTATGAAAGTCTTCTTAAGTGTGTGGTCAAATTCATGATGCTAATATTTGAACACACTTTTCACATCATACCTACAGTACATCCTCTGTTCTGTTAATGCTATAATTTGATTTCAACAGACTAGTACGTTTCTCCACCTGTGCTCAGTTAATTTCACAATACCTGCTGTGTCTGTCTCGTCTGACTTTGTTATTTGTCTCTTCCCTTTTCTCTCTGTGTGGAACCCAGGCCATTACCATTGAAGCTGAGACTCGAGCTGACGGCAGCAGGAGAACTACACGCTATGACATTGATATGACCAAATGTATCTACTGTGGCTTCTGCCAGGAAGCCTGTCCTGTTGATGCCATTGTTGAGGTAAGAATGAGCTTATCCTGTTCACTGAATGTTAGATTCTATGGAGCTGAACCAAGTTGGCTGTTAGCACTGACTGAATGTATTTCTGTTACTCAAAATACGTATTTAAAGAAGTATTTCACAGCTGGAATGATGATCTTTTCATAAAACTAGGCTGTCTATGCAGGAGAAAGACACAAATGCTTTTGAAATCGGGGCTACATGACCAAGGAAAAATACTGGAGACAGCATGGTGCCTACTTCCTGTTCATAACTTCTCATATTACAGCCAAACAGTGCACTAAAATATGTTTCTGGAGACATTCTAGGCAAGAAATAGGCAATGCAGTAACAGAATCTTGGTTTGATCAGGGCTGCCTAGTTTCAGCATTTGATCTGAGTTTGAGAGAGACAAAGGGAGACTGCTTTTTCTCTCAATCTGCTTCTATACTCATGTCTGTCTGGCAAATATCAGATCATAATCAGTTTCACATTTACATGCCCAGTATTTATTTGCTATGCATGCCAGCATCTACAGTAAGTATGTGACACTAGGCTTCAGTATGCTTCAAACGAAGTACTTGTCAAATCGGGACATTAAACAGCATCTGACCTACAAAGGGAAAAAATGTATTTAATAATTAATGGGGAATTATGAACTCAACCCACCATTAAACAATAAATGTAAAACATTGAAACTACATATCATCTGTGTGTGGATTTAAACCTATAGATGGTTAATGTGAATTTTTTCCTCTGTGTCGCCCTCAGGGTCCAAACTTTGAGTTCTCCACAGAGACCCACGAGGAGCTCCTGTACAACAAAGAGAAGCTGCTCAACAATGGAGACCGATGGGAGGCTGAGATAGCGGCCAACATAAAGGCAGACTACTTGTACAGATAAATCTGTACACTGCCAGCGGAGATGTGTCATACATCATAAAAAT